CGTCCACAACGAATCTCCCCAGAGCTTTCAAGATGGCCCTGGAAGATGCCTCCAAGGCGGTTCCAAGACGTCTTCAAGACGGCCAAAGATGTCCTCTAGACGGCCCGAGGGGCCTCCGAAAAGCCCCAAGAGGGCTCCAAGAGGACCTCCGGTAGGCCCCAAACATTGCTGTTCTGTGTGTTCGATGATTTTATCGTTCATGGCCTTCTCGGGCTTCCGACGCTCCAAGACGGCTCAGTAAGCTCCCAAGATTGCCCCAGAGGCCCCAAAGAGGCCCGAAAGACTGCTCGACAGGGCCCCAAGACGGACCAAGAGGCCCCCAAAACTGCCCTGAGACTGCCAAAACGCCCCCAAAGCGTCCAAAGAGGGGCCCAAGACAGCCCGGAGAGAGCAAAAAGAAAACCTCCGCAGGCCAAGAGCTCCCAGAAGCATCCAAGAGCACCCCTAGAGGCCCCCAACAGGCTCCTCGGAAGCCCCCGAGAGGTTTCCAGGAAGCCTCTTCCTCCTCGCCCTTCTTCTCCTCCCTCTCCTCCTTTTCTTCATCTGCCATGCTCCTCCAAGAGGTGCCACTATACGGCTGGGGGAACACATGCTCCTACAGCTTAGACAGACGTCGGCCCAGAGCTTGGCCGCATGGGGGTTTACCAAAGCCATGGGGCGGCGGTGATTCGCCGTAGGCGTCTTCGATAAACTTTCGGAGGCCTGTGCGCGTTCCTTGAATCTGCGCTGGACCCCCGCGGAGCGCACCAGGGGCGGCGCCAGAGGCGCCGCCAGGGAGCCCAGCGCCGATCCAAGAAATCCGAGCGGAGCTCAGAAGACCTATGTTTCCCCCACATCCTGGGTGGGTGAACTGTTTTCTCTGGGTGCCGCGCGCACACTTACCTCGCCCCCTCTCCTCTTTCCACACCACTCACTCACATGTGTGTCATTGGAACACACACCCTCATCATCACCGCCATCGTGATCATTGCCATAATCATCCCACGCGCGATCACCATCATCACCATCAACATCAACTTCAGCACCATCATCATGAGCATGATCATGATCATCACCATTCGAACTCACACACTCACACGCATACTCACACAACCATCAGCATTCCCCACATCCTACGTGGGGGCTGTTTTTCAAACACAACATCTCCATCAATCATCGTCACCATCACCCATCACTCATTCACATTCGTTCACCCACATTCAGTCATCATCCATTACGGCATCATCACCATCATCGGCATCACCATCCCCACCACCACCACCCATCATCATCATCATCATCATCATCATCATCCTCATCATCCTCATCATCCTCATCATCCTCATCATCACCATCAGCATCATCAGCATCATCATCACCACACTTACACACTCACTCAATGACTCGCTAATGCAATTTCTCACACGGATGAAGTCTCGAGCAAGGGCGTCGTGTGTGAGCGAATCGCGAGCATGCTCGAGCGCGAACCCCTACCTATGGGATCCCCGCTTCCATGTTCGAGACCGAGCGGGTTCCTGGAACACCTTCAACTGTCGTCAGTTTTGGGCTCCCCAAGCTTAGACATGGAGGAAGTCTTGAGCAGGAACCCCTGCAGCTGCGGCAGCTCGGCAGCTGCATGTTGCAGAATCCCTGGCGGCCCCCGCTGCGTCACGCGGGGAAAAGGGAGCCGCGATCAGGGCCAACTGATTCATCTCCATCGCGGTGGGCAGGCGTTCCCTTGCCCTGACAGGGGGCAGCCTGTCTTCCATGCCGCTCTTGCGGTGGAGTAGGTACCGACGGCGTCTTCGCAACTGACATTGCAGCAGTATTTGGGACGCGGTCCAACTGGTGCTGGTGCAGGCTGTGATTGCGCGGCCCGCGGCCGCGGCGCTGTGCCCCGCTGGCTGATTTTATCTTTCTTGGCTGCTCATTATGCCTTATTCTCCTCTGGGATGAAGGCCTCCAGCGCCTCGAGGTGCAGCTGCCAGTTGGCGCTTGCGGTAGACGGAGCGTCCACTCCCATCTCCTCCTCAGCCTTTGCCGCTTCCTCAGTTGCTGGTGGGCTGCTGGGCACTGACCGCAAGCCGCGCAATCTCGTTGCCTTGCGGACCTTTGTCAGCCAGGGTCTCGAGCGAAACCTTGAAGAACTGGCTGTCCCCAAGGTGTGCCCTAGCCGTAGCCGCGCAGGCACGCGACTGCTATTCTTGTTCAACTTTGAACTGCTGCTCCGCCTCGCCGGGGCGTAACTGCAACAGTTTCCATCTTCGCGCATAGACTCAAGAGGCCTCTCCATCTGGCTGGTGTACTGCTTGCGCAACTTGTCACATTTGTCTGCGTCGCGCTGGACACGAACTGTTGCTCGCTGGAATAGGCTGTGATGGGGCAGATTACTGCGGCCGGCTCCGGGAGTTGCGTTCGCTTTTGCTTGGGGGCTGTGGTGCTATGCTTGTGGCCAGGAACCAATTCGCCGCCGAGTAAGTTGGCGGGGGCGATGTACTTCTCGGAGGAATCAAGATGGTTTGGGAGTTCCTCATCTGGAGCAGGCCCTGCCTTCTCCTGATCTGCGCCATCAGCTGGCTGTGAGCGGGACGGTGCTCCTACGCCTCCGTCCCCTCGAAGGCGCTCGGGGAGTCCGACGAGAGAGCGGAGATCTCCAGAGTCGAGCCGGAGCAGCTCGCGGCGGAGCTCGGCTTCGCGCTGCCTCCCGCCTGATCGCGGCCGCGACTAGCTCGGTGCCCGCCTATTTGTCCCAGCGGCCCACTCCCGCGCCCCCGCGGCTCGCGGGGTTGTCCCGACGGCCTGGCCCGCGGGGTTGCCCCAACGGCCTTGCGACCCGGCCATCGGGGAAGGCGCCCCTGCTGGCCGTTTGTCGGCGACGGCGGTGAACGAAATCGACCTCTGTGCCCAGGCGCAGGAGATGTGCACGAGGAGGAGAAGCGGGATGGAGACGAGGAGAAGGAAAAAGGAAGAGGAGGAGGAGGAGGAGGAGGAGGAAGTGGAGGTGGAGGAGGGGGAAAGAGAAAATGCCGAGGATGAGGACGAGGAGGATGAAAGGAAGAAGGAGGCGGAGGAGGCGGACAAGACATGCAACGAGGAGGACGAGAAGGAGCAGGAGCAGGAGAAGGACGCAGAGAGCAGGGTTGAGTGCCCCCGCCAGGCAAAGAGGGAATGGCCAGGGCCAAGCTTCATAGGTTCTCATTTGGGGTCCTACCGTCGGAATAATTGCCTGTACATGTCTATTCGGTCTAGTCAGCGTGCAGCCATAGCCATAAGAGGACGGTAGATAAGAAACGAGCGGGTTTTTTCTGAACAAGGTGAGCCTCCCAGGGAGAGGTTCCTCAGCCTGGATCTCAGGAGCGGCAAGAAAACAAGAGCTCCTCCTGAGCTCAAAGCGGTCCTTCCTTCGGAGTCTTGGCTGTATGCCTGACATCACCTTATCCCAGTGCCCATCTGAGGGACTCCCTCGGCTTCCGAGACCACAGAACCCTGAGACTGTCACCGCCCCGGGCTTTTCAGCCTCAGGAATGGGGGTGGGCTCGAGGCTGCTCACACACGCAAGGGCGGCCCGATCGAAGGTTGACTGACGGGCCATTGATGTCGATGCCTCCCCCCGGGCCAATCCCGCCTCTCGTTACCCCTGGCTCCGGCGGGCCTGCACCAGAGGTCACCTCTCGGCGAAGGGCCACTCTTGCGTGCGGTCGGGGGAGGAGGGGGGAGGGGTCACCCAGTCCGGGCACACCCGCTGGAGAGTGGCCGGCTGGCGCAAGTGCCAGGGCGTCTTGTCTTAGCCTCCTGCTTCATGGCCTCCCGGTCGCACAGCTCCTTCAGGTCCCTCCCCAGGGGCAGGCTGAGCTTCGCGAGCTTGCTGGCCACCGAGCCCGGGCCGAACAGGACGAACACGGGCCCGCGGTCGCCCCGACAACCCAAGGGGTCACGGGGTGGGGGGAGGCAGGTCGCTAGCCAGCAGGTGCAGGTCTCTGCACCGCTCGGACGTCTACCCCCCGTGCATGTTTCGGTCCTGTGCGTGTTTTTTGTTCTTTGCACATGTCCGAGCGATGCCGAGCGTCGCTGGCCAGCAGGTGCGGGTGCCGCACACCACAGAGTTGCGCGGTGTGAGGACGCCGCGCCCGGGAGCTGCGCCCACGCTACCACCGCTCTGTGAGGCGTGCCCTCGAGGGCCCCTGGGGTATGCCGCTGGACCTCCAATAACGAACAAAGATTCTCTCCCCCATTCCTCGGCTACGCGTAAGAGTGACCCTAGGCAAGGGTGACCTTTGGTGCGCGGCTTTCGGGGCTGGCGCGAAGGGGCCAAACCAGAGCGCCCAAGCCATTGTTACCGCATCGTCTTCAGAAATCGAGGAGTCCAAGTGGGCCAGCACCAAAGCTCCGCCCGGCGAAGGGTCACTCTTGCGTGTAGAGTCTGGAGGAGGAGGAGGAGGAGGAGGAGGAGGAGGAGGAGGAGAAGGGGGAAGAGCATGAGGAGGGGGGAGGAGGAGGAGGAGGAGGAGGAGGAGGAGGAGGAGGGAGGAGGCAGGAGAGGCGGAGGAAGGAGGAGGAGGAGAGGAGGAAGGAGAGGAGGAGGGAGGAGGGGACGAGGAGGAGGGAGGAGGAGGAGAGGAGGAGGAGAAGGAAGTCCTCGCCCAGCTGCGGGCCCTGGGTCCCTCTCGGATCGATGCGTATCGGGCTCGAGGCCTGACGCGGAAAGCTGGGGCCCGGGGCTCCAGCTGCGACTTCTCGCGACGCTGCAGTTCCGTTTTAGTCCTTGGCGCCCATCCCTTCCCCTGTCCTCCCCTCCCCTCTCCTCCCCTCCCCCCCCCCCTCTATCTCCCCTCCCCCCCTCAAACTCCCCCCCCCTCCCCTCCCCTCTCCTCCCCTCCCCTCTCCTCCCCTCCCCTCCCCTCCCCCCCTATCGCTGGTCCGTGCAAGCGAACGTGGATCTGCATCGTGTTTCACATGCTTGACGAGCGTGCCGACGTGCACAAATCGTCTTGTCTATGCGCCCGCTGGAGTGTGCACGGCCTGTGACTGACTGACTGCGGTTTTGCTCGCAACATCGGCTGCGAGCGGGGAAATCACAGAGCACCGATACCGCTACTCCGCGGACCTCTCCCGGGGTGCGTTCTGACTCGAATTTCGAGGCGACTCCAGCGTCGGCGACCAGGGCCTCCCGGGAGGCCCGCGAAAGGGGAAACAAGGGAAGGGTAGCGGTATGGGTGCCTTTCGCTTCTCTGAGCGAGGGCCCGCCTTGATGACGAAGCCTAGCCGGGCTGGCACGTGTGGCGGGGCTCCGAAAGAGGGCCCCCCTGGGCGGCCCGAGGGGTGGGCGGTGGTGACCGCGGGCATGGACGGCCCGGCCGAATACGCGCAGCCACCGCCCACCACGTGCTCGGGGCCGAGCCCGTCGAGGTCTGGGATGGACCACCTCTTCGGCTACACGCAAGGGTGACCCTACAGTGGAGACCCATGCCAAGAAACACCCTGCTTGCCTCCAGGGTGCCCTGGATTTCTTGGGCTCCGGTGGCTTCTCTATGGGAAACGCGACGTCCCCACACCCAAACTCAATGGACGTCCTGGGGTCTCAGGGTTGGGTCTCTTGTGGGAGGTTTCTTGTGGGCTGGCCTCCTAGGAGGACATATAGTATTCGTATGCATCCGGAGGAGAGAAGGAGGCGGAGGAGGATCGAGGATCGAGGAGGAGGAGGAGGAGGAGGAGGAGGAACGAGGAACGAGGATCGAGGAGGAGGAGGAGGTTTCTTGTGGACTGGCCTCCACTGTGGGCAGGAGTGGCCTCTGGTGCGCAGCTCTCTGGGGGCCGCGGGGAGAGCGAGCAAACACGAGCGCGCCAGGCGCTGCTGCCGCAGCGCGCCCAGCGGCGGTCGGGGGGCCCCGGCGGGCCCGCACCGGAGGCCACTCTGGCGAAGGGTCACTCTTACGTCCAGTCGACTCTCCGCCCGCTGCCGCCGGCCTCCGCCCTCGAGGCGAGGGCGCCCGCGGGGCCCTCCGCGGCGCCCCGCCCCCCCCGACGGCGAAGGGTCACTCTGGCGAAGGGTCACTCTTACGTGTGGGCGGCCTCTGACCAGGGGCTGGACGCCTGCAGGCCTCCGCGTCAAGCTGCTGCCGCTCGCCGTCGCTCGGACACGTCCACTCCCCGTGCAGGTGTTTCGGTCTCGTGCGCGTGCTTCTCTCGCCGCGCTGCCTCGGCTGGCCGCTCTGGCCTGCTCCACGCGGAGCTCTTTCACGTCTGCGCGCTCCCTCCTCCTCCCCCCGCGCGGCCGCCCTCGTCTTGCTCCTTCCTCTTGCACGCTGGACAATTCGCCCTTCGACTACCCCGAACAGCCACACGCTGGAGCGGACTGCCTCGCCGCCGACGAAAGCAGTTGTGTTTCTAGCCAGGTGATCCAGGATGCTCCTCGCTGGTCCTCGCCGAGATAAAAAAAAAGTGCACGCGGCAGAGCGAACGATCGTATTCGTGCGTCTCTGGAGGATCGATGATCGAGGAGGATCGAGGATCGAGATCGAGGAGGAGGAGGAGGAGGAGGAGGAGGAGGAGGATCGAGATCGAGGAGGAGGAGGAGGAGGATCGAGGATCGAGATCGAGGAGGAGGAGGATCGAGGATCGAGGAGGACATGGTACTCGCGTGCCTCTGGAAGAGAGAAGGAGGCGGCCGCGGGGGCCGCTCCTCGGCACCGGGAGTGGCCAAGGAGGCGCGCGCCCCGCCCAGGCCTCCGACGTTCGAGCTTCGAGGATCGAAGGGGATCGAGGAGGAGGAGGGGGAGGGGGAGGAGGAGGGGGAGGAGGATTTTTTTGCATGGGACCATGCTGCAGCCCACGTACACCGCTCAGGGTGGGCGAGGCCCTGAGGGGGCAGCCGCGCCGAAACAACTGCACGGACGGTCGGCTCGGAAACCAGCGAGGGGTGGGTGTGCCTGGGCGCTCCGCGAGACCAGGCAGCAGAGACCCACCCCTGGGTGGCCCCTCACAGGCACACAGGGCCCAAGGGGGCCCTGCTACACCTGGACGGGGGCCGACGGCGCGCCAGGCACAGTGCCACAGCCCTCGGCCAGAGGGGAAAACGGGCCCACGACAGGTGACCGCCTAAAGGACCGCCAGAGTTAGGCGGAGGCGCCACCATCAGGAGCCCCTTGCCCTCGACTGCACAAGAGGACAAGCGGCGAGTGGCGGGCAAACAAGTGCTGGCGTCAGGAGCGGAGCCCCAGACACGCACCACAGAAAGAAAAAAGGGGGCGAAAGCCCACGAGGCACCGTGCGGCCCTACACGAAACGCGTACGCGCACGCACACGCCCGGGCACGGGCCAGCGAGGGGCGAGGGCAAACCACAGCCCTAGCGCCCTCCCATATGCATCACTGCGCGCATCTTCCCCCTGAAGCGGGGTGCCTGGCATGCGTGCGGCACGGAAGACGCGCAAGACACACTGGCCAACAAAAGGACGACGAGGCCTGCCCCAGGTGCTGTAGCGCCTGGACGACACGACCACGCCCCAGATGTAAAACCGAAACACACGCGAGACAAAAAACAAAAAACGACCTCCCACAAAAGGACGGCGGGACCTCCAGCCCCTGGTGCAGCCAGCGCCAGGACGACTGGAGGCCACACCCCAAATGTGGGAGTAGGCCCTAGAAAAGACAGACCGTGTCAAGATCAACAGTGACCCCAGGCCGCTTCGGGTGGAGCCCGCGTTGCAACTTGACCCACGGATTGTTATGCGCCTTTATATCCTCGGGCTTGCAGGCCTTGGCCAGGTTGGCCAAGCGGCCACCCGAAGTCATGTAGTTGCACTTCTGGCAGACGCACAAGAAAAAACCATCCGAGCAGTCTATGACGGCGCAGCGGTGGCCCAGAGATCTGAGCACAGCGGGCTGAACCCTCAAGGCAAGAGTGCAAGAGCCACCCTCTGGCCTGGCGAGGGGAGAGCCCCGCTTCCCTCGGAGACATTCAGAACACTGCCAAAACTTGCCAGCCCACCCCCAAACGTGGGGCTTGGATTCCTTCTTGGCCGAGGGGCCCTTAACAGCAGGCACGCGGTCCGCGTTGGGACCCAACTCCAGCTTAGGCCAAGAAGGCAAAACTTTGGCAGCAAGTCGGGCCACCGCCTTAGCAACCGCGATACTCCGATCAAGACCCTCGGACTCCGACGGAGAAGGCATAGGATGCAAGGCAAGCGCGGCCTTGGCGGCCTCATCGGCCCAGGCGTTTCCCTGGCGGAGGTACCTGTCCCAGGGATCATCAGCGGACTCGATGTCGAGGTGAGCCTTGACCTTGGCAACCGTGATCTTCGGCCAGTGCTCACGCACGAATTGGGCGATTCCTGAAAACATCCTTTTGGCAGAACACTGTTCAGCCCACGGGAGGTCCGAAAATTCCACAACATTGAGACAGTCCGAATAGATCGTACTAGGACCTGTGGTCCACTGCACCGAAATAGAAAAAGCAAAGAATTCAGCCGCCTGGGGCGTTTGCGGGCACGGGGCCCACACAGGCCCAAGGACACGAACAATCTGCTTCAAAGTATTCCTACAAACCAGGGTGAAGGCCCAGGCAGCTCGGTTTAATTCGCGAACAACGCTTCGAGAACACGACCCGTCGACGAATATGTCGCCCTCGAAGGCGTATGACTCCAGGTCCGCGGGCCCCCCTTCCAGCCATTGAACCTCGACTCCTCCAGAACACTTGGCGCCTGGAAAGGAATCCCCAGGGTGCGGAAAGATCCCGTAGCACGCCAAGAGATCATCCGACTCCGAAGCCCATTTCTGCACTTTGTCCGTGACGCACTCGTCCCGAATGTCGGACGCACTCGGGCACAGCCACAACCGATGCCTTAGCGTGTCAACTGCGCCACCGCACAGTGGGCAGCTCGTAGACGGCAATATATAACCTAAGCTGGCGGCACGGTCTCGAGTATAAATGGCCTGGCATGTGAGCGCACGCATACAGCCTTTCTCGAAAGGCGAGTATCTGGCGGAGTTCAGATACGCAAACGCTCCGTCGACACAAGCCCGACCATCCAAGTTGAACCTAGCTCCCAAGTCCCACTCGAGAGTCCTACGGACCGCGGCCCTGAGAAGGTTTTTAACCAGCCTAGGGGAGAACTCGGTGAGAACAACCTTAAGCCCAGTGTCCGTGACCAAAGTGGCGAAGCTGGGCATGCTCCACGAGATCCTCTCCAGAGACTTCCTAAGGGCACTGACAGGGCCCCCAACACTCCTCCACAGTGGGCTTTCACGAGAAAAAACAGAGGTCCACGCCTCATTCATTTCGGGGAGCGTCAGAGCGTGACGGTAGAGGCCCAGATGGGAGGTCCACAACTCTTTCGACCACCTCACAATAGGCGACACGGCAGAGTACCACGTCGGGTCTTGATGAGCCAACAACAAGGTAGTGAGGCTTCGGCCCTTGGCCGAAGGCTGCAGCACAGAGCCAGCGAGCTTCCTAATCTGCCAGAGTTCGTGATCTGACACCCCGTAGACCTCGGAGCCATACAGGGTGGAGCTGAGAGCCCCCGAGGCCCACACGGCTTTCGAGACCCTAACCCCGACGGTGGGACGGATCCGCGCCAGCCTCTTCGTGAACGCCCGCGCCTTAATCTCCCTGACTTTTTGCTTGCTAGAGCGCCCCTTGAGGCGCCTAGGGCGGCCGACCGCGTCGTCCACTCCCAGATTAGCAGAGGCCGCGACCACCGGTCCAGCCAGCCCGCCGAGTCTCCGACCGAGCTGCAGGGCCAACTTGCGCGAGGAACAGATCAGCGATCGCTTCCCTTCCTCCCGATTGACTATGGCCCCGACCCCTTCCTCAAACACACTGATGAGGCGCTCCGCGCTCGGCGGCAAGTTCTTCAAAATATGCTCTGACGTGCCAGTGCGCGATAAACCCGAGTCGTCGATGTACAACTTGAAATGAACCTGCGACGGCAACGAGACCAGATCAAGCGCCTGGATAGAATAAACTCGGATCAGTGTCGTCGCGAAGGGACAGCCAGCAACGATCCCACGACGGGCCCAGTAGGGCCCGTCCACAAAGCCCGAGAGCCCGAAGAACCGAGGCTGAAGGTACATGCTCACCGCAAGGCGAGCCACCCCCATAGGGAAACCAACCTGCCGACATCTGAACAACAGTTTATTCAAATCGATGGTCTCGTAGTACTTATACAAGTCAAGAAGCACGGTGGCGGCCTCGCCCCCCGCGCTGGTGGAGGCCTCGGACCTCACCGATTGCCTCCAAACCACGTCCAAGGCCCCCTCGAAGGGCCCTGCGGCAAAATACTCGCGAGCATTTTGAAACTCCCAACGTTGGGCCAGGGGCCTCCTGACTTTCCCATACGCGCGGTACAGGGCACAAAAGTTCCCGATCGGGCGGAATCCAGCCGTGGCCTTGGGGATGAGCGCCAGACGGATCACAGAGATTT